GGGTGGCTCAGATGGTTAAGCGTCTGCCTTCGGCTCAGGTCATGATCCCAGGGTCCTGGGATCGAGTCCCGCATCGGGCTCCCTGCTCCTTGGGACCTGCTTCTCTCTCTCTCTCTCTCTCTCTCTCTCTGTCTCTCATGAATAAATAAATAAAAATCTAAAAAAAAAAAAAGAAGGATAGGTTTTAGAGGACTAAACATAAAAGCCTACTGGAGAGCCAAGTCGAGAAGGAAATTTATCCAAATACTCACAGTGATTATCTCTGGTTGGTAGGACTATGAATAGGGTTCTTTTTTTCCCCGTCTACCTTTCTGTATTTTCTAAATTCTCCATAGTGAGCATATATTTCTTTTGCAAGGAGAAAGAAAACCAACAGACCTTATTTTAAAGGATAAAGGAAGAAATAGATTTTAATCATTGTTTGCAGCTCTTGGAAATTTCTTTTCTCACTCCTCGCCCATGGTTTTAGTTCACGTCGAGCCACATCTGGCCCCCTTGACTATCTCCTTCCATTGCTCCAAGGGACAGCCCTCCTCCTAGTAGACAAGCCTCTCTTCCTCTGAGACGTATCTCACCCATTCTCTACCATTTTGGGGGGTTATATCTCAATAAAGCTGGTATAACATACCATTCATCTATATAAAGTATATAATTCAGGTGTTTTTAGTATAGTCACAGAGTTGCACAATCATCACCACCATCAATTTTAGAACATTTTCATCACCTCAAGAAGAAGTCCCATGTCCTTTAGCTATCATTCCTCAGGCCTCCTCTCTGCCCGCCCCCCCTCCCCCCAGCCCTAAGCAACCACTAATCTACTTTCTGTCTCTATAGATTTGCCTATCCTGGACATTTCACATAAATGGAATCATATAATATGTGGTCTTCCATGATTGGCTTCTTTTACTTAGCATAATGTTTTCAGGGTTCACCCATGTTGCAACGTGTGCGAATATTCTATTCCTATTTAAGGCCAAATAATATTCCGTTGTATGGACTGTGTATTTGTTTATCCCTTCATCAGTTGATGGACATCTGTGTTGTTCCACCTTTTGGCTATTGTTAATAGCTCTGCCATGAGCGTGCATTTACACGTACTTCTTAGAGCACTCATTTGTGATTCTTTGGGGTATATACCTAGGAGAGGAATTGCTGGGCCATATGGTAACTTCTATACTTGACTTTGTAAGGAGCCACCAAACTGTTTTCCGCAGCAGCTGCACCATTTTGCATTCCCACCAACAATGTGGAGGTTCCACTTTCTCCACATCTTTTGCAACACTTTATTGTTGTCTGTCTTTTTTATTTTATTTTATTTTTTGGACTTTTTTATTATAGTCATCCTTGTGGGTATGAAGTGGTATTTCACTCTGGTTTTGATTTGCATTTCCCTGATGACTAATTGACATTTAACTGGACTTCATCTTGGCCCTCCACATCTGATTCTTACACACAAATCCCTTTGAAGGCCACCACCATCTTATCAGGCAAAGACCATTCAAACTGCTCTACCAGATTAGCCCAGGGGGTTACCCAGCCCAGTACCTAGCTAGTTTTTGAAAAAAAAAATACCAGGAAGAATATGTGGGGAGAGAACACGATTATGCTTATTAATACTCACCTCAAACAATGAATACTCACCTCAAACAATGAATACTCACCTCAAACAATGAAACAACGTCCATCTTGCACATAGAAAATAGTTACCTGGAACTTGAAAGAAACCCTTAATTATCTTGCATACTATCTGAAACATAATGTATATTTCATTAACTATCCGTATTCTACTGGCTTATAATAATGGTAATATTGACCATGACTAATGTTATGGGGGGATTACTTTGTGCCAGAGACTATGCTAAACACTTTATGTGCATTGCCTCAGTCATCGTAGCGACCTATCATTAGCTTCATTTTACAGTCAGGGAAACTAAGGCCCAGAGAAGTATAGAATTTGCCTAAGGTTATGCCGCCAAGTAAATGAGGGAGTAGCTGGCCTTTGACACTTACGTGGGTCAGACTCCAAAATCAGTGCTCTTACCTACTACTCCTAACAGGTTTTCAGGGGCTGTTCTGAGACTCCAACCATCATTATAGCATGGTTGCTAAATGAAACCGTTCCGAATTCAAAACAATTAATCCAGAAGTGAGTTTTTCAAGCACAATCTCTTCCTAGGTCCATCCTGTATGTCCTGTGGTGGTAATGAGTACTCTATGACATGGGATGGCCTTCTATGTCTCCAAGTTACCTTGCTCAAGTTTCAAAGAGATTCCCCTGAGTCCTAGAATTTGATGACCCAGATTGTGTTCACAGTATTCACATTCTCTGTGGTTTTCTTAGACGTTTATCTTGACCCCACCAAGTAATATCCTTCCATACTGAAGTGGGAGGTCTTGTGTTTACGGCAGCCCCTCATCCCCTTGACGTTTAGACGGACCCTCTCTGAATCTTCTCCAACTTGCCAGTGATCTTTATGATCAGCCCAGAAAACTGCAACAGTTCAGGGGCTAGGAGAAGTTCAGAGTGTTTTTTTGTTGTTGTTTTTGTTTTTTTGTCTCTTTTAACTTCTAGGCAAGTCAAATTGGAAAACTTTGCCATGAGTTCAATTTTTCTTACCATGTGCTATCTTAGAGAGAGTTCAGAGGTAGGAGGAGGCCTAAGGGAAACTCTTTCATTAAAGAGCAGGCCGTTGCCTCCCATAGACTAATGGCCATATTCCATTTCCTCATGGAGGTGGGGGATTACTCAGCCTCAGCCTTTACTCTCTCAGTTTCCACTCTTGGGAACTGTATTATTACCTTGTAAAACAGGGCATCTCTCCTATTAGTGTTAATTGAACCCATCTTTTTCCTGTTAGAAACTATAATGTTGACTTTTATTTTCCGAGCCCTGGATTGAGCCTCTTCACTTTGGAGGTTGACGGAGCTCAGGAAGCAACTGTTGGGGTATCGGGAGTTATATATATCCCAATAACCTTTCTTGAGTTGTTCTGTCCATCACCCTGGCTTTGCTGTGACCCGAGCCTTTGTGAAGATGTGCTGAATATTGTAAGTGCTCTCCCTCTTCTAAGCCATCAGTTGAAATGAATCGTTTTATGGTAATAAAGTGGAAAAATGCAAGAAAATAATTTCTACCGGTCTTCCTCTTTCGGCCAGATCCGAAAACAACCCCCAGAAGGCTTTTCTGGGCTCAGGACTCCCACCAGTGTCCAAATGAGATTCAGGCCTCTGGCTTCTCCAGAGGCCTATATATTGGGCCAGTCCATTCTTAGCCTGGAAACAGTATTGAATAATTACCCTACTGCCAGCAAATTCCCTGGCCAGAGTCTCCAAAAACTTAGTAGAGCCTTAAGATAGACTTGGTTATGAAGAACGCTTTAACTTCCTTTCTACCAGGAACATTGGTTTAGAAAAATAAAGAGTATTTCATTTGTGTTTACCATCGGACATCTATTGTATAGCTATTTTAATATTTCTTTATAAGCATAGCCACTTCTCTCCAGTCTGTAGCGTCTTATTTTGTGTGTCCATGTACAGCTGAAACAAGATAATAGGCCAGAAAATTTGCTGGGTATTTATGTGTGTGTGTTTATACCTATTTGCATATGTAATGTCCTTGCTCTCTTCTCTCACTCTCGCTCTTTCTCTCTCTCCCACCCCCCCCCACACATTTGTCTTATATGTAGCATAAAAGCCAAAGCAAATAAATAATAAAATATACTAGGATCCACTCTCTCCTGCCTCCCACCACCACCACCACCCCCTCCCATAGTTACCACAATATACAAACAAAGAACAAAGAAGCCTTCCTCCTCTAGCAGATGTGAGTTTCTCTGGCTCTATTGTCAGGAGAATTTCATAGAGCGTAAACTGCTCTGAGCACCCTGTAATTCTGATCTGCAACTATTAGCCCGAGCCTATATGGAAAGGGGCTATCTCTAGGGTAATAGCATTGTAAATTACAATCAATGCACTCAATTACACCCAGAAACCAAAAGATAGGTAGTGCCCCAGTGTGCCTTGTTATCAGCACCTTTGAGAACGTAGGTAACAGCATTCTGAACAAAAAATGGAAGCCGAACATGTAAGAAAATGAATGTTGGAATTAAATCATCCTTCTGCTAGGAGCAGCACCTTATATGGCAAGCAACTTATTTTCCCCTAATATCATTTTATTGATTTTTTTTAAAAAAACTAAATTGTGGCCTTGTAACCAAGGATGTCTTTTAAAATCATTTATGGCTCTAATCAGCCTGGCAGAGCCTTTCTGTCATGCTGATAAGGAAATTAAACTTTTCTCATACTGGGTTTACTTGCCTCTTATGCACAGATGCTTTCTTTTTCTTTCAGGGAACTAATTCAGAAGTTAAAATCTTTCATCAGCTTCTACAGTGCTCTGCCTGGTTACGTCTGCAGCCATAGCCCCGTGGCTGAAAACGACACTCTTTGCTGGAACGGCCAGGAACTCGTGGAGAGGTAATCTTTTTTTTGAATGTTAAATATAGCAGTGTTTGAGAATCATAGGTCTGTCTCAAGGTTGGTTATGTCTTCTCTCTGCCTTCATTAACTTCACAAGAAACATTCTAGAAAAAACATACATGTGAGCATCTGTGACATGCCAGATGCTGTCTATGACCTCTAGCCCTTAGAGAATTTACAAACTTTGAAGCATGTAGAAAACTGTGTATTCAGGGACATTCTACCAGGTGTAGAGCATCAAACAGCACCCCCTTTTTTGTCTTTGGCTTCTCCATTTCCCCGTTATGTGGACCCTTATTTATTTATTGGTTTGAAGAAATCATATATACACTAATAGCTATCGTTTAGTGAGAGTTAACTGTGTATGAAGCACTGTGCTAAGTGCTTGTCTGTATTAACTCTTTTTATCCTTACACCAACCTTCAGAAGTAAATTATTTTTCCCCATTTTATAGATGAAGGTGGAGGAGAGAAGAATGGGAGGGGAAAAGGAGTACCATTTCACTGAGCAATATTGCTGAAATTGTTGATCACTGAGTGTTAGTATAATCTGTGCTAACATTTGTCATCTGTGAAGAATTTGCTCATCGCTGGAAAGGAAATAATATATATTCCTTTATTCAGTAAATATTTACTGAGCACGTTCTAAGCGCCAGTCATGTTGAAGTGAACAAAACAGGCAAAATTTCCTGTCCTCCCGGAGCTCTCAATCTAGTGGGCTAATGGCGCTCCTAACCTCCATGGCTTCCCATGTGTAAGGAGGAGTTGGGGATTAAGGAACGAAATCAGGAGGGTAAAATGCTTAGGAAACCGTGGGGAGTTGATGAGCAGGCTTCCAAAGCTATTTGTCCAAGTGGCAGCGTCCTGTCGAGGAGAATATAGAAGATACTTGAACTCGAGTTCTGAATCTTTTACTAATGAGTCACTTAACCTGGGGCAAGTGACTTAATCTCTCTGGGCCATGGTTTCCCCATCTGAAAAGTGAGATGGTTGGATTAGAACCTTCTAGCTCTGGCAGGCTGTGGGGTTTTTTCTCTTACTGGTTCATTTGTTCATTCATTCATACATTTATGTTTTGAGATACTATGGGTTAGGCACCAAGGTAGGTACCAGGGATATGAGGCTGAAGACAGGAAGTTACCTGCTTTGAGGAGCTTAAGGTCTAGTGGGAACCAGCATCAGGGCATGGGATAATTAGTCATGATGCTAAATGGAATGAATTAGCAATGTAATGTAATGGACTAGAGGAAGGCTTTGGAGCCAGATGAACTTGGGTTTGCATCTCAGTCCTGCTACTTACCGTGTGGGGCCTTGTTGAGTGGGTCACTCAACCTAGAAAGTCCCAAGGCCCTCTTCTGTAAGGAAGGGCTTCTCACAGGGTTGTTGTCATGATTAGGTGAGGTCATAAACGTAGAGTCCGTAGCAGACTGGCGTATACCAGAAGCTCAATTCATGTTTCTTCTCTTCCTTCTCCCTTTCTCCCTTCCCCCCACCGACTCCTCCTCTTCCCCCACGCAAGGCAAAACACATGCCTGAAAACAGCTTGTTTCCCAACTAAGCTGTTTTACTGACCTGGGACAGTGAGAATGAGGTGCTAATGGGATGAGGCATTGAACTGGCATGGAGATAGACTTCCCTCCAGCAAATGTGAATCAGGCTACAGGGATTAATGGCCCCGTGCATCCACTCCACTCTGGAGAAATAGTATATATTTATTATCCTAAAAGCTCATCAGGTTCTAAGTAGAATCATGAAAATGTGCTTAACTGTTATGACATATTTTTTTAAATTGTCAGAGAAAAGCAGTTGGTGTTTGGCTTTATTAAAAGCAGATGCTGTAAAACAGGTATAAACAATATAATCCTTAAAAAAGAAAATGCCCCCAGGTCAAATATGTGGTTCTTGCATAAGCTTCAAGAGAAACCATCCCAGTGACTTACCCACTGGGATGCTAATATGGTAAAAAATGTACAATTCCCCGAATACTAATTTGTTTTAAGCAGCATATCTCCTAACCATGGTCTGCTCTTAAAGAGGAAATGTTAGTTACCGGTACATTTATTTGCTAATGTTCATTTAACAAGTATTTGAGCACCTACTATATATCAAGTGTTAATATGGGTTTCTTTATTGTTGTGACTGTTTAAGGTAAATGTTGGAACCCTTTCTTCAAGAAAAACAAAATTAGATGATCCAGTTTTAGTTTATTCAAAAGAATTTCTTCCCAGGCCTATGTTTTTTGAATTAGTGGGATTTTTTAAATTGAATTTGGTGCATATAAGCTACTTCATGCCCAGTATGCTTTCATGAAGGATGTTGCTCGAGAACCAAGAAAGTCCTCCCCTATCAAATGGTGGAATCCAAAGCCTGCTAAATTTGAATGAGTCTAAAAATTAGCCAAATGCACTTTTGCACCATCACAATAATTCTGTTAACTGAAGTTTTTTTTGTTTAATTTGCTGGCTTTAAATATCTCAGGGTATCAAACAAAATAATAAAATAACACAAATGGTAGAGTATAGAGAAAAGATATTATTTCAAACCCGTATTTATATTTCTGAACAATCTATTGTTTTAAAACAACTTTTATTGATGGGGCGCCTGGGTGGCTCAGTTGGTTAAGCAGCTGCCTTCGGCTCAGGTCATGATCCCGGGGTCCTGGGATCGAGCCCCGCATCGGGCTCCCTGCTCAGTGGAGAGACTGCTTCTCCCTTTCCCTCTGCCTGACACTCTGCCTACTTGTGCTCTCTATCTCTCTGTCAAATAAATAAATAAATAAATCTTAAAAAAAAACCAGCACTTTTATTGTTGATATGTGCTATCCAGGGAGGGAGGGAGGGAAGGAAGGGAGGGAGGGAGGAAGGAAAGGAGGGAGGGAGGAAGGGAGGGATGGAGAGAGGGAGGAAGGAAAGAAAGAAGGGAGGGAGGGAGGAAGGAAAGAAAGAAGGGAGGAAGGGAGGAAGGAAAGGAGGGAGGGAGGAAGGAAGGAAAGAAGGAAGGGAGGGATGAAGTAAGGAAGGAAAGAAGGGAGGGATGGAGGGAGGGAGGAAGGAAAGAAAGAAGGGAGGAAAGGAGGAAGGAAAGGAGGGAGGGAGGAAGGAAGGAAGGAAATCAAACCTATTTGTAGACAGTATAAGGGTATTATAATCCAGGAAGTGACTCTTCCTTGGGTAGTAACCTCAGGTTATAATTAACCTACACTTGAATTACTGACCTAATGTGATGATGGGTCTAGGGAATAGTGTCAAACCAGATTTTTTAAAAAAAATTACTCAGGAATATACATTTAATCATAGGAAGTTCTGTAGCCTGAGGACATGTGTGCGCTTTATTTGTGCCATTTATAAAGATTAGCTTCACACTGCCTGTCTCATCTATAGTAAAACCTCTTTCCAGAGCTTTTCATTGAATTTCTCATTTCGTTCAGTCTTAAGTAGTAGTTGCCATTTCACATTGTCAAATCAGTTGTAACCTTGTTATCTTTATAGGTTAGGTTTGTATTCTTTTCAAAGTATTTTACTTTTAGTCAAGAAAACTTATGAAAATCAAGGATCCTGAAAGGAAACTAAACCTGTCAGTGGAGACACCCGATTAAAAGGAAAATATCGATGCTAAGGAAAATATGGATCAGTATCCATGACAGCTGGGTCGTCAGACCACTCAACTTTTCAAGAGTTCGACAAGTCACTAAATATGGTCTCTAAATATGGTTGTATTTCACATCCATTCAATTGTTTGCTCTTATGAAACCGATCAATTGAAATATGAATGAAGAGAATATTTTCACAGATCTAGTCTGAGGGAGTACCACATAAGCCTGTCATTTGTCCTTCTAACCTCTCCCCACCACAACCCTCCCCCCCTCCCCACCAATCTTGGCTTGAGATAAACATTGGCTCTGGGATTTAGCTGAGAAATCTTGGAATTAGCAAACTCAGGCTCGGGTGAGGTACACTCTTTCATCTGAGATACCATGGATCCTATGGGCAAAGATTTCCTACAGTTGCCAAAAGTGGAAGATCCTCCGTCTTTTGCCTTTGTGGAACTACAGAGAATCTCAGTTAGAGCATTTCTGAGAGCAAGAGAAATATAAAGGATCCCATGGGAGTAAGTTAACACTGGGCTTAACAACAGCTAACCATGGGCTTTGCCTGCATTGGCACTGAAAATACCTGTATGAAGAGTGAGCCATTTAGTGAATACATCCCCATACACCCTCCTCATACCCCCTTTCAGGACTGTTAGGCCAAACATCTAGATCACAGGCTAAAATTTTCATTCTTCTTCTGGATGGTTTGATACCATCTGGAAGGTAAGCCCCATTTTACTGCTGAATTAAGTTGATCTTTAAGTTAGTGTAACAGAAACTACTTAAATTTATACATGTGCAAAAACTGCAAGTCAGGGAGAAAAAAAGTGCCATCTTGTCTTGACATGTAGCATCTGATAATTCAAGTTCATTCAACAAAGATGGAGCACATCTTTTACACTGGGCCCTGTGGGGGCATAGTGATAAGTAGAATCCAGTGCCTGCCCCTGCTGAGGACTTTACAACTTAATGAGAAGAAAGGAAAAATAATCAGCCAGTCTCCTTCCCCAGTAGGCTCTACCCATCTGTGTGTGTGTGTGTGTGTGTTATTGAGGTGAAATTCACATAACATAAGATGAACCCTTCTAAGGTATACAGTTCGGTGGCGTTTCGTACATTTGTGATGTTGTAGAATCACCACCTGTATCTAGTTTTAAGACATTTGCATCACTCCAGAAAGAGAGCTTGTACTCATTAGCACTCACTCCCCACTCCCCGCCTCCCTCAGCCCCTGACAACCGACAGTCTGCTTTCTGTCTCTGTGGATTTACCTATGCTGAATGTTCCATACAAATAGAATCATTGACTTAGCATAATGTTTTTAAGGTTCATCCGAGTTGTAGCATGGATCAGTACTCGGTTCCTTTTTATGGCCAAATAATATTTCATTGTCTGGATGTAGCACATTTTGTGTATTCACCCGTCAGTTTCCCACCCGAGTTTAGTGACCCCTGAGCAACCACTGCTCTATCGGGCTCCACCTACCACGTCTGGATTCCGTGTGGCTCATCCTTAACCTGGACGACA